CGACAAGGTCAATGGCAAGGTTATAAGAATGCCCAGGAAATAGGGAGGATATGGTTCTGTTTCCTGTTCTTCAAGAAGATTTATTGTACTCGTAGTAGTAGGTTAGACCAATGGCATCGACCTTGTCCTAGACCCTTACAGTTTGCAGTATCCTGCAGATATGACTTTAACTACCTTGTAGGAGATTTCTCAGGCTGCTTCCAGTCTCTCTTTCAACGTTCTGAAGATCATAAAGCTTGCTGTAGCGATGTGCCAATTCGCATAAATACGTATCTCTAAGTCAACTTGAGTCTACGGTTGGCCATCATAATTATGGGACTTTTCGCGGGGTAATATGTGGCTAACTTTGATAGTAGACGACGCTCACATTTCCAAAAAGCAGTTGAACCCTTAGTCTCCGTGGACAGGACTGCGTACGTCCCCGTACGAACCGGTGGCTCGCATGATGCACCAGGATGTTCCGATGCCCCACAGCTTGATGATTATTTTCAAGCTGGGGTGAATTTGCGACGTGGGCTTCCCTCCCCAGGACATGTTAGGCAGCGAGAATTGGTACGTAGTGAAATATGACCGAGGGGCAGTGCGTGAGGAGATGCCCACAGCCAATCAACAAGAATCTCAGCACATGCTGACGAATGTGGCTAGCGCAGGCTGACAACTCGTACCATAAACAAATGCCTTCTCAACTGCTAATTTGATTGGTTGAGAGCAATTGCTCGTGTGCCGGACACACCAAGCGTTTTGTCAAACGACCGTCCCCGCGTGAGGTCAATCTCCCCGCCAATGGGATCATCGGGAAGCCAAGTGGCTGATGGGAGCTAGTGGCAAAGGCGAGAGCAGCACCAGGCTCTATGATTGGATGTGAGAAATCGCCAGCCACCAATTGCCAGTCTCTTCAGGCAGGAGGTTGTTTACTGCGTATAGCCGACCCAATGCAGCCTCAGGCGCCATCTTACGATGAAAATTCTTCTCCAAGCAGCCGTGCGCCAATGCTATCCGGAGAAGCGAGGAAATGCTCACGGCCACTGAAATTTAATGAAGGCCACTAGCAGATTAGATCAGCCACCCTTCCCGTTTCCTGAGCGCTGTTTGTTCCCAAACCCACTATGGGGCTGGTGCGGTAAAAGTGGAGTTCTGGTCATCTTCCAACTTAATTGGCTGGGGGCAGTTGCTCATACAACCTTAGGTGTGCCCAAGCACCTGTACTCCCCTGGTGAGTGGAGATGCTCACCATGCTCGACAGAATCTAGGTAATGTGATTGGATAGGGGAGTTTCCTCCAACTAAAGTTCGCCTGTCTATATTCCTTCGAGTCGAAGCAGAGGTAGGCCAGGATGTACCTGCACCTGGCCACTATGCTCCAAAGGACATGTGCGTTCTGCATGAGAAACCCTTCCCTCGGGCCGCATTGTTCCGACCACAGAGTCCCCACCTCGTGACTACCAGAACCGTTGGGCAAATTCGATCGACACCCGACCGTTGTCAGCCATGCGCCGCGCGTTAGCAAGAGCGGCGATGGGCCAGACAGACGTCAACTTCCGACCAAAAACAATACCTCACTATCACGTACCTCAATCACTCTGCTCAGCTGGCTGTCATTGAGGAGCTCGCTGCGTGGTATGAGAGCTGTTGGCCAAAGATGAGTCTGGTACGCGCAGACTTGGGTTCCAAAGGACATGTTCGTGTTGCTGACCTTGAATCACAGATCGAAGATGTCCAGGGCGGTATATGGAGGTATATTGTTTTGCATAGGATGACCTTCGACGTCGACAAGATGTTATACTGGAAGGGACGAACCGAAACGGGCCGAGGCAAAATAGAGCTGAAGGGCAAAGTTGTGGAGGGTCTGGAGAATGACGGGGAGGTACGCGTGGAAGCTGGGACTATGGTCCTTGTTTGTGAGATGACGGTAAAGAGCACTACGATCCAAACCACTCAATCTTGATTCCGCCTTCGAGCACGCCATGTTAGAGCGTATCAGGGTTACCGAGATCCTGGATGATCTTCTGACCTTCGTCCCAGCTCAGCCGTATAAACAATTGAGGAACTTGTTTTAATCTTACTGTTGCAATGGGTGGCTGTATGAAAACCTCGCCAACGTCAGGCAACCCATCGCCATTCCAATCGGCCACGACCTCTGTGTAGTCGGCGAATGCATGGAATCTCACACAAGTTGTGATCTCGTTCATGCCCCAATTGGGTGTAGTACTAAGCTGCTGTATAAAACTCGACGAGAAACAGCGAGCCAGACCCAACTTGTGCACATACCCGATGCTATATGCAGCGTACGGCGCAATTACGTCGGAATTGGGACATCGCGCTGGACATGATCCACCGCTGTCGCCAGCGGTCGCCCGACATGAAGACACCGCTGTGTCAATGGGCGAACGCGGCGATTCCGAGCTTGTGCTGCGGCATTCCCCCAATGTTTCTCCGGCTGGCAGGTTTGACACATCGCTGGCTGAATTGACGCGCCGCCTCTTACCCTGTCGACCTCCAGAGACACGTTCGCCGGCCAAGTCATGGGGTGAATCCTGTAAACTGTGCAGTTTTTTGAGAGTATCTGTAACTTCTGCAATGCTGCTTAGCGCCCGGACATCAACATGTGCGTGCAAAACTTACCCACGAGGAAGGAAAACGCGTAGGCAGGAGAGGTCTTCTTCCATAGCAAGTAGAGTGTGTACCAACTTGCCAGTATCTCTTGTTCATTGGGAAGCTGCTGAAGGGCGTCCTCAAATGACTTCTCGTGCTCGCATAATTGCTCGATTTCGTTCTTAGAGAGAAATTTGGCTAGCCGAACAAATGTAGCAATCGGTACCGACCTGAGTTTCGGACTGCCTTCGGTGGAATAGCGATGTGGAAGTATATCACCACATTGGCGCTTCGGAATAGGTTCTGTTGTTTCGCATCTTCTCTGTAGCGAACGCACTACGGCACGAGCCTTGTCCTTGCGTTTTTTTCTTTCCGTCAATTGAGACAGTCTATTTTTCAGACGCTCTATCTCTTAGTTTTCGTCCGAAGATGATTGCGACATGGCGGAAGATCACGATTTTGTTTGGGTGAGGGGGGCAAGAACATGAAGACCTTGGGTGATCTCTAAGCGCGGGCGCCGGTCGTTATTTGTTGTTGTCCAATTTCGTTTACTTGCCCCATGTTGCCTAACAAGGATATGTCTATGAGGAGGGCTGCGTGTGACGCTCTTCGGATCAAAGATAGTCCGAGAAAGTCGTGCCAAATTAGAAGTGAGTACGGGCCCAGCGTTGCAGCGTGCCGAAAAGACACCTCAACACAAGCGAGAATGAGACTCTTGAAAGCAGTATCTACCAATTCGATCAAATCACGCTCGCTCGCGGCCGCCGGGGTGGTACTGGGCACAACGTCATCCGCCGAATCGGCTTTTGCATTCAAAGGACCTGCTTATGACCGCGAGCAGGCTCTGACTACGAAAAGTTCGAGAGCAACTTACCAAGCACGAACGCGTCAATACACAACAACCATCGCCAGCACCTCGAATGGGTCACGGGCTTTTACGCGAAGCACGACGACCGCAACTAAACGAACATCAGCACAGCACTGAAATGCCAGGGGCTCGCGTATCACTTCCGATAGAGTGTGCACCGTCCCGCGATCATAACAATAACGGTGACGAGCCCGATAGAGTAGTATTCCCCCCTGTATACATAAAGCGTTAGATACGAGTTATGCTGTAATTGGCGTATGATCAAATCTGCGGACTCTGTACATGAGCTCATAGAAAGGTACTTAGATACCTGGCATGATGGGGTGGCAAGCACTAGTAGAGCTGCCGCAGGACGACGCGCAAGTGGGGATATTGATGCGAGGACATAGCAGAAGGAGAGTCCTGCAGTACATCTGCTTTAAGTGTAAGGTCACCCCGCACATAGCCAGGCTGGCCTCGTCCCAATGTATCTTCCCCTTTATGGGCGTTCTATCAAGCAAGTCTTGAGAGATGGCTCTGGGAAACCCCATTAAGAGGCGGATGGCTGTCAGCCGGAGGCCAACGAGACCCTACTTTCATGATTGATTATTGCAACGATGGTCTTTCATATCGGAAAAGGCAGCTACTTGCCAGCCGTTGAGGCGCCGTGGTTTGGGGGCCCCAGGCTGCTTTCTCCCGATGCGTTCCGGCAGCTGGACACTCCAGCGGCGCCCTCTCTGTATGGCATTGTGCCCATGGACCTTATCCACCAGCCTCTACCCAACGTTTGCAGGATGCCAGACAACGGCAGATTTGTCCAAAGCCTCTGCCCGGCTCCAAAACCAGCCGACATGGGCGATCTCACGAAGTTTGCGTATCAGCAGCCGTCCGACCAATGCCACCACCCGATCTCGGACGAGTTAGAGAGCGAAGCGCTTTCTAAGGTTATGGACATGCACTGTGCCTCGACGCCCAACCCCACAAAGACAAAGGACGTCAAGCACAATAAGCTTGCACCTGGCGCAAAGGAGGTTAACTTCACCACGGCCGTGGACACGCTCATGAAGGCCATTCAGAAGCGGAGCAACTCCGACCAGAATGCGGATTTGACGCCTTCTGTCACGCCTGAGTCACCACAGTATCTGCGCCAGTCTCAAGGCGACTCGACCGTGATTGTGGCCGCCCGGCCCTCGGCCGAGGAGGCCGCGAAGTCAACAAAAACCATGAATGCAAGAAAACATGTATGCGATGTTGACGGCTGTGGCAAGTCCTTTTACCAGAGTGCACATCTCCACACCCACAAACGCGCTCACACAGGTGAGAAGCCATACGTGAGTACTCACCGTTCATTTCCAGTCAGCCCCAGCTAACGGTGCAGGCATGCAATTGGCCGCGGTGCGGGCGAACCTTCTCGCAGCCCGGCAATCTTAAGGTGAGTGACCCGAAACGGACTATGTCCTTATCGCTGACCGTCAGACGCACATGCGACGACACACCGGCGAGAAGCCGTTCCTATGCGAGCAGTGCACAAAGAGGTTCGCCCAACGATGCAATCTTAAGAGTCATGAGGCCACCCACACCAGTGTGAAGCCATTTATCTGCAAGTTGGATGAGTGTAATAAGCTGTTCACGCTGAGGGGAAATCTGAAAGTATAGTGCGCTCATCACAGGTTCTGGATGCCTCTAACATTTGACAGAACCACCAGAACAAATACCACGAGAACACGCTGATGGAGCTGACAGACTGGGTTGTATCTTTGTCAGATATCAATGGCCTCTCTGACGACGAGCGCAAGATGTACTGGTACTTCGCAAATCTCTACAAGAACAGCAATCAGGGTATCAAGGGCCGTGGGAAGGATCGGAGGGTTGCCAGCGTCTCCGGCAAAGACGACAAAATCTGCAAATCTCGGTCAGCACGTCGTCCACCGACGAGGCCCACGATCACATCGACTTGGTATGAGCCATGTGAGGTGGCTACCGTCTGGCCCGCTAACACCGACTTTCCAAGCCTCGTCTATGATGGTCTGCCTCAGACAACCCAATTCCACAACGAAGCACAGGGTCACTTGGGGGTTGACTGCTATCATAGCATCCGTCTCACGTAATAAGTTTGGCTTTCACCGCAAGCCCTGGAGATTAGATTTGAAATGCAACAAAAAAATGCCCCATGAGAGATTCCAGCCTGTCTCAGAGTGAATATGCTCACGCGTGGCTCGCCCAGCTTCAGCTCTAGCGTGTGGTGACCTTAGTGGTTGTGTCGCCTAGCTGCCGCGGGGCCGACCTTGTTTTTCCTTGACAACCCTACGCACCTGCTTACGAACCGCGGTGCTGCAGGACACAGCATCCGATGCCACACTTGTTCAGACATGAGTAATAAGGCGGTGGGCGAAAACATATGGAACCATCCTGAGTGTCTATTGGGCTGGCATACTGGGCCATGATGACAGCTTACCTCTGTGGCGTCTGGGTCCCACAGATTGCATGTAAGCTGTTATGCCGTGGATTACTCTGTTGTTTGTTGCATCGCTCTTCGGTGCCGCATCCCTGCACTCAGCCCAAGATCAGTCATCAACAAAGTATTGCTCTGGTGCATTCGTGTGTTGTTTGCAGCTGCGGCCGGGCTGGTGTGCCTTGCCAGACCCGCTCCGCCGGTTGCCTTTCGCTCGGTCAATATGCATCCCAGACGGAAGATGCTGGGCTTTCACTGGGACGCCCGATCGTCCACTCGCTCACAACGTCTCAAAAACCGGCGAATCTCGCATTGGGGCATTCGTGTTTGGTTTTCAGCTTCAGCATCGCCGTACTCAATTCCATACTGATGATGAGAAGAGTGGACATCGCTGCAAAGGTGTTGATGCCAAAGACTCGAGAGCCGTTCTGTGTTCGACGTGGTATGCGAACCATCTCCAGAGGTACTCTGCATCTCGTAAGGCAGCCGCTAGAATGCTTCGCCATCTCGCCTGGATCTGTTACTTGGCTGCCATAGAACATAAAGAGCTGGGCTTCCTCAGCGAGCCTGTTCGATTCTGCAAGCCACTCGTTGACTCGACAACTTTTGCATTCTCATGTGCGGCACGACTTTTGATGTTTTGCCAATTTCCAACTCTCTTCCACTAGAAACAACGCTGACTTTCTTTCAACTGAAACAACAAACTTGCAGCCGGGTATTTGTACGAATGTCACTCAAGTTAGTACTCCAAGCATAACTCCTGGGCCAAGTGCCAGTAGGCCCGCCATGTCCGACATTACGGTATCAAGAACGGAAGAGAGCAAGAGCAAGTCAGGTGGTTTGAATGCAGCAGAGGAATCATTCTCACCGACCAACCCCGAGACTACTGTTACCAGCCCCGGGCCAGGCCAATCGACTAGCCTTGGTGTCTCCAAGCGCGCAAAGAAAAGCTGCAAATGTACGAAAGAAAGCTGCGAATGTACAGAGGAAAGCTGCAATTGTACAGAGGAACTCTGCAAGCGAACTCGCGAATCTGCGAGCAAAGCCAGCCGGGGCGATGCTAAGAGAGAGGATGAGGACTCGTTACTCCCCCCGAAACGAAGTCGAGCCCGGGCACCCACGCAGACTGGCAACGCTAGCACATCTGACAATGAAGCCGCGCCGAAGACAGGGAAATTTTGGTCCCCTGAAGAGGAACCATTGAAACGAAAAAGCAATACAGAGTCACCCAGACCCTCGACGTCTAGATCGTTTGAGCCCCGCAACCCTGAAATCGACCAGACAGAGCTCTGCGTAAAGCAGCCGGAAACGCGTCCGATATCCCAGGAACAGCTCGTCGCCGAGGTCAAAGGCATATACGCTGGTCTCGTTATGGTGGAGAGCAAATGCATTGAGGTCGACAATGCTCAGAGCTCCACGACGGAGTCGAGCCCGAAGATGAACAACGAGCAGTGGCAGGCATTGATCGCGCTCCACCGAACGCTGCTGCATGAGCATCACGACTTCTTCCTGGCATCGCAGCACCCGTCAGCCAGCCCTGCGCTGAGGCAGTTGGCGAGCAAGTACGCGATGCCGGCGCGTATGTGGCGGCACGGCATCCACTCATTCCTCGAGCTTCTGCGGCACCGTCTGCCCGCGTCTCTCGAGCACATGCTCAACTTCATCTATCTGGCTTACTCAATGATGGCGTTGCTGTACGAGACGGTGCCGACGTTTGAGGATACCTGGATCGAGTGCTTGGGCGATCTTGGGAGATATCGGTACGTTATGCTGCAAGATACTTGAGCAAAAGCTGACCCTTGCAGGATGGCCATCGAAGACGACGACTTGAAGGACCGTGAAGTTTGGACATCCGTCAGCAGGCACTGGTATTCGACAGCAAGCGACAAGGCACCCACGACGGGACGACTGTACCACCATCTCGCCATCCTTGCGCGGCCTAATGCGCTCCAGCAGCTCTTCTACTACTCGAAGAGTCTGTGTGTCCCGATCCCCTTTCTTTCGGCCCGCGAGAGCATCATGACTCTGTTTGAGCCTCACCTCAACGGATCGCCCACACGCCTTTAGGAGATCGATGCCGCCTTTGTACGAGCTCATGGGATCCTGTTCTCTGGGCGCAACCAAGAACAACTCGCACCCTCCGTGGACGAGTTCATCGGCAGTCTGGATAACCACATCGGGCGGACCACGCGACGATGGATGGAGAGTGGATACTACATCGGCATCGCCCTTGGCTGCTCTCTCCTCGAGTACGGCAGCGAATCGAACGTCCTCATGCGAGAGATCAAGTCGGGAGCTCGCACCGATGACACAGACACGACCATGCAAGGGGTTGAAGCCGCCGCCCCATCCCAGAGGTTCCTCGATGCCCTTGACTTCACCTGCCGCACACACGACGTTGTCTTTCGGCGCTTCGGCGACCCCAGTGTCACTCCTTACCTTCACGTCACCCTCTCGTTCCTTCACCATCTTTCAAAACTCCCTGCCGCCATGGCTCACATCGAGTCCAAGATCCCCTGGAAGCTCATCTCACTCATGCTCAACACGCTGGTCGGCGTCTGCTCAGACTTTGATAAGGTTGAAGGTGATGAGTTCCCTCGAAACGAGAAGGACAGCCCACGGCCATTACCTGACGACTTCGCCCAGCGTGGTCTCCTTTGGGTAGAAGAGTACGACCAAACTAAGGTCGAGGAAGACTCCAAAAAAAAGGGGTACTACCCAGACGACTGGTTCACTGCCGCGAAGATCGGCGACGAAGAGAGGTATTTTGAGGTGGCGTCCATGATGGAAGAGAGGCAGAACCGGTGTCTCTGGTTGGGAAATCGCATAGCAGCTACAGGGATGTGGCTGACGTACGACAAGAACCTGAGGCAGTTCAGTGTAGCACAGCGGTACGATGTTGAGATTGCCAACTTGCCGACAGATTCGGACACAGGTAGTGATACCGCAACACCATCCAGTGAATGGGGAAGAGGGGACGGCGCCGATGTGGAGATGCGGAATGCGTAGGTGCTTTGTCAGCTTGAGTTGGAGGGATGTGGCTGCATGTTGTAGATTCACCAGAGAGCGGCATGGGTCAGCGGAGTTAGGCGTCTATTTTGGCATAATACACTGGTCTCGCAGCCATGAGAAAGTGTCCAGATTCGTAGTCCAAGGAGCCTCCAGTGCCTGCTCGTTCAGTGATGGCCGGCCAAAAGCTTCCGCCCAATTCGCAGGATGGCTATGGCGGGCGTCCACGACCCTGAGTCCAGGCCTCCACGGGCCAGTCGCCGCCACATGGCACAATGATTGGCCGTGTGCCTTGGATCGTCTGCGATCCATTCGTTGCGTTCTCATTGTCATGAGACGAAAATGGCTTTGTTTTCGAGCCACGACGTCCCTACGTGGGTGGGTGACAAACGCTGCTGGCGTCCATGCGGAGCCGTGGAGCCAGATTCAACCACGACGGCAGGGGCGTGTCCGACGAGAGAGACGCCAACCAGGGCAGGCACTCGCCGATGCACGCAGGCACCAACAGGCCATGTGGGTGGCCGAATTGGCCGCGGCCGCTGGCGCTGGAGGTGTGGGACAGCTGGGCGTGTCGTTTGGATGCTGCATGGCCTCCCCGCTGCAACGAGAGGGTGTGGGTCGCAGCAGAAATTGGACGGCCCAGCTGCTGCGTCCCAACAGAGATGCGAGGACGATGGGCTGCAGAGGGTACCTCTGGGTACGCGACTGGCCCGCGCGCGGCGGTGGAGACGACGACCAGGGCTCGATCTGCTGCGGGCTGCGACGGACGCCCCACCTCTGGGGATTGCCCAGGCTCCGCAGCTTCGTCCACGACGCGCGCAGCGTCCGGCTAGGTGCGGTCTTCGACGGTAGAAGGTCCTGCTGCTGGTGATGTGTCAGGAAAAAGCAACGACGCGGTTTCGACGACGCGGTTTCGAGGATGACGGCGGCGACGAAAAGGAACCGCTGCCAGACTCATCGACCGACTGTGACTTTCGAACACCGGCGATGCGTGCATGATGGCCTCCGTTGGACTTCCACCGCCCGGCTGAGCTGAACAACAGGCGCGAAATTTGGGGATGCCCAGCAGTGTGTACTGTCGATGATTACTTCGGTCTGAGTGATGGCGAAATACACTATGGTCGCGGTGTTGGCTGGTTGTCGCAGGAGGCCGACATGATGGAGAGTCCTCAGTGGCCCCGGAAATTTGTTTGTTCGTGGTGTTCCGAGCGGTGGAATGTGGCACCTTGGCCACAGGGCAGGACGTTGAAAGATACGTCCACGATAGGCCTCGATGCCGCTGCCTCGAGCGGCGCGTCCTTGGGCTTCACTCGCCCGCTGCTGACCATGGTAGGGCGACACAGCGCTCATCGCAGAACGATTCCCTGGCTGATGCCGATGACGATATATAGCAGTACTACCTGGATCACGACCACCCCGCGGCAGAACCGTGTGTTCGTGGGCTTTGCCAGCAAGCCCGGGACTCACTGTTACCCGGCTGCTGCGATGGTAATGTCGCCGAGTCACCATGGGAATCAGCTTATCGCTGCGTCATGGACCACTGTGATGTTGTTACCGATGCCAGACACAAGATGAAGGTATATTTGCTTCCCTCGCAGCAGCGTATCGTCTGGCTGACCGAGGATATCAGAAACATCTCAATGGCAACAAAAAAAAAAGGACATGATGTTTATCTCTCGGGACTGGCTGGGCGCATCAAAAACCACGGCTGCCTGTCCAAAACGGATCAGGCCGTCTTCTCCCGTCTGATGAATTTATTCAACGATTTGGACTCCCGGGGACAGATACCCATGTCACAGTCCGTTCGGACCGTTCTGGGTGCAGACGAAATCAGCAGCCCGGCCGTCGTGGGAGAGCACAGGCAATGGATGGTGTACCTTGGCCTCCATTGTCCAGAGACACAGCTGTATCGACCTCATCTTCGCGCCAGGTCTCGAACCATTGGGCCACGCCAAGACCACGGGAGGCTCCCAGCCCCCGTTGCCGAATCCTCCGCAAATGTCTTGTATCCTGACAGGTGTGCCGCGCGGTGGACACAACTCTTCCCCGCGGGCATATTGGTGAACGCACCGATTGTCATCCAAACCGCCGTGTCCAGCACATGCATCCAGCTCCAAAATTGTTGGCGATAGGTCGACGCTGGAGACGGCCCGCTGGGTCCCGCCGGTGTTTCCGCGTCGTCTGCCGCTGCCTCCAGATCTGCCGGCCCGGCTGCTCTCTTCACCGGCCGCGTATCCGGCGACTCCTTGCTACCCGAAGAATACGCCAACATCTCTTCAGGAGTGATCCCCGCGGTAACGCGCTTCCAGTAATCGGCAAGGATATCAAAATCCGACGGGGGCGCCGCTTCCCGAATCTTGCTCGCATTCACCTGGGCTTGCAAGTACTTCAAGATTGTTCCGTGAATCGAGTTCAACTGATGACCCAGACGAGTCGCCACGGTGTTCTCAGACTGATTGCTGAGGTGCAGGAGCACATCATACAAGAGCGACTGGATAAACTTGCATGCGTGCCGTCGCAGGATGAATTGGGCGCTAACTCGGAGGTACCAGACATGTGACAAGAATTTTTCTTCTTCATCGTTTCCTTTGCTGTTATCGTCAGCTTCTGGATCTTTCGTAGTCATCGAGATACTCACAAAGCTTGCTGTCTGTCCCTCGTCGCTTTCACATACTCACGGCAGAGGTCGCGAAAGGCCCATGTCCACGTGTTCCAGATGATCAACGTGAGTGGTACGGCAAGGATTGCATACCACGGATCGGAGAGTGTTAAAGCGATTCCAATCACGATCTCGGGGCCTCTGATGCACCACACGCCCGCAATCGTTCCCAAGCAAGAAGCTTTGTTTATGTAGCCGCGATCGCTCGGTTTGGAGGAGCCGTCTAACAGTATCGTCGCGAGGCTTTCCAGAGACAGGCCGAGGATGTCCATTGAGAACTCCTGAAGTTGCTCTACATGGCCGAGCAGCCCTGGTTTCAACCTGACAATCTCTGTCGGAAGGTCATAGCTGACCCAAGATGAGAAAAGAATGGGAAACAGATCGAGCGCCCACAGGGCAGCACAAACAAGGACGAAGCCTACGACCGTCCAAGGAACGAGGAGGCCCCCCTGTTGCATGTAGGACACCATTTTGCCGTAAGGGAATGATCTCACATCGATCGAAACCGATCTCTCGAGGGCGCACTCGCGCGGTATTAATGGACGCGCTGGGCGAGAGCCGTTCTGTCTTGTTCGCATCCTCTGGTGCTCCGCGGGCTCGACCTCATGCATCGCTTACGCTGGCTGCATGAGACTTGCAGCGGCCAGACTTCGCAAGCTGGTTGAAGGCCTTGGATTGCTGCAGACGCCGATCGACAAGACCTGCCATAGGGCGCTCGATGGTGGCTTGCAATACCTGACGCTCCAATGAGGTGTTGCATGAATGCACCTGCGCGCAACCAACTCGGGAATGCCACCACATGTTGCCGGAACCGCGCAGAAGACGGTGACCGTCAGCTAACCGCGCGGTCTCTCTAGTCAGCTTCCCGTGGTATTGGCGAGGATGGACATGGCCATGTACGCATGAGGTTGAAACTGCCTCATCGAGTGATCAAAAGCAGTAGCGTGACGGATAATGGAGCATCTCAAACGCAAAACCAAAAAATCACGGCTTTCGGTTGTAGCTGCGGACGTGAGCACGAGTACTTTGAGTTGGCAGACAGAGGCATTGGCACAAGAGGTGCGGTCCAATGCTGGAGATGCTCATGTAGACGCCGGCATGTGTCTTCAATGAAAGACGTGCTATCCTGACAAGACTCGGATGTCATTCTCAAGACGTCCGTCGTTGCTGCCGTAGGTCTCAGAACCCCTGAACGGCCAGACATGAATTCGCCGGAGACCTATCGACGGATGTCCAAGTATATTGCACCCCGATCCCGAATCAAGGCAAGGTTCATGACTTGTGAGGCTTCCGCTAGTTCCATGTCGCATCAGTCCCTTTCCAGAACGTTGCTTCAGGACGCCCCTGTTCGTTCAATAGCAGCGGTCCCAGCGGCATTGGATCGCCGCGCCTACATCGCATGGGGCTCCACCGAGCTGTTATATAACTCTCCATTGACCCGGCAGAGACATGACCAGAAGGACATGACACAACAGCCATCACGCGAAGATGAGTAACGCCACAAGCAGCCCGAACGACCTCAACATCGTCGCAATCATCGATAACCATCGGTGGAAGCTGCTATACATATTCATCACCGGTTGTACTCTGAGTGTTTGTGTGTTCGGCCGCAGCCTGTACGAGCAGCACAAGAGGAAGGCACTAAGCTGGGACAATGGTGAGTAACATTGGGAGGTTGAAGTAGGCCGGACTGACATCTCTCAAAGCAGTAATAGGGCTGTCGCTGGTGAGCGCGTCTCTGGATCGAAACACTCGCTAGAATTTCTGCTGACGACAGAAGATCTTCGCCATCGTGATGCAGGTGTTGGCCATCACACCAGTGAGGGCAGAGATTCAGGTACGTCTTGTGACAACATCAGCTCTCTCATGTCTAAGGTTTCGTAGCTCAAAATGGCCACGGCGTTGTTCGTATTGTCCAAGTCACTCTCCTCGACATACGTTCTGCTGCTGCTGCGCCGGATCGGGAATCAAGTAGTGCGGCCTATTCTAACACATTTCACGATTGTTGTGGTAGCTGTCGCCATCATCGCCAGCGCTCTTGGAGTCGTAGCACCTCTAGCCGGTTGTATTATCTCGGAGACTGCTTCCGAGGCGTTTTGCCATCCGATGGAACCGGTCTTCCTTGCGGCTATTGCATTCGACATCTTCAAGGGCATTTGGATTTTTGCATTTTCAACGTACGTTTTGGTATTCCCAAGTCACTCGGGCATCCCGATTGCCCGAAACCTTCGCCGGAGGATGCTGCCCCTGGCATTTGTGTTTCTCGGCCTCACGTATGTCCCTCTAGATTCTGACGTCCTCCAAGATGCTAAAGGGTTCCTTAGATCTACAGTCATTCGAA